ATACAGAGATCAGTACTATAAATTGTGCACCCAATTCCATATCGTAGTCCGAGGTATGCTTCAACCATTCGTTTTTTTTTTTCCTGTGGATAGTTGTCAAACTCTTTTGAATGACTATGGAATATAATGCAGTCAACCTAATATCATCTACAAATGGGGGTATTTAAAAGGTTTCACCAAAGGGAGCATTGAGGAAGTAGCTCTTCCATTTGGACTCTTCACTGGACCTTCTCCATGATAGCAACAAATAGCTTGATTGAGTACACAATGTATGTCTCAGTTGGTGGTAATAATTAGTCAGTGAACAAAGCTATCTCTATTGTTAAATCTGACAAGGGATCTTGTATGATTTTGTTGTGTTGCATGTTGTTGGAGGAGAGCCTTAAAGTGGTAGGTTGTTCTACCCCATCAAACGTGTTTCTCTATAGAATAAAGAATAAATATAATAGGATCTTATATTCACTACATCTTTTAATTAACCATGGAACCAAAAACATAGCATCTGCCATAAAATATTGTTTAGGAAGGCTGTTAAGTTTTCATATCTTCATCAAGGACACCCTCTCTGGGCCTCACTATTATTGTGTATAAAACAAAAGGGTCAGTTAGACTAGATGCTTTCTAAGTTATCTTTCAATTTTGAATACTATGATTCTATGATACCAAGAACTACCCAAGACTCACCTCACCAGCTATCAGTTTTAAAAATGTTAGTAATTAAAAAATTCATATAACTTTCAATTCTAAATGTATCATTTCCTACTACTTTCTCAAAAATAGGAAAGATTTAAAAAGCACTCCAACAAAACTGATGATTGAATTAACTGAATCTAACAATAAGTTCAGGCTTTCACACTCATAGTGTTCCACCTCTTCAAAGAAGCGAGGGAAGTTCATTTTCACATTTATTCTTTGGAGACAAGCTTGTTCACTATAACTTCACTGGGTTAATTTTCATTTATCTTTTTATTGCTTTTATTATTTCCATTTATATTGTCATAGTCATTGCATATTTTGTTTTCCTTAGTCTACTTCACCGTTTACCAATTTATGTCTTCCCATTGTTTTCTGAGTTCTTCATATTCATCATTTCTTAGTTTGCAGCACATTCCAATTATACTATACCCTAGACTTTCATAACTATACGGAAGCAGTGATTACAATTCATCCTAAAATATTTTAACCACTTCAGTAGTTCCTCAGATACATACTAGCTGTGTGACTCAGGGCTAGCTAGCCTCAGTTTCCTCATCTGTGAAATTGAGATAATAATAGCACTTACCCTCCCAGGGTTGGTGTGGAGATCAAATAAGGTAATAATCATAAAGCACTTAGCACAGTGCCTGACTTGGCACTATATAAATATTAGCTATCTTGCTATTATTTTTAAAAGAGCTAAATCTACTGTAACCCTTACTGTATCAGTGCTAAATTCTACTTGTTTATCATTGCCTCTCATCATGTAACCTCACCATGTCTATCTAATCTTATTTCACACCATTTTCTCAAATTTGCCTTTTCCAGTAGTTGATGTTAATTGTGAGAACAAATCCCAAAATCTGAAGAAAAAAAGTTTTAGGAAGAATTTTATTAGATTATTTGGCAAAGGAGAGAGGTGGAAAAGGTAAAACCCCTTCCTTGAGTCTTTGTGAAGTTACATCATATTGAGTTTAGAAAGCAGGGTAAGGACATTTGTCTTACTGGTCTCACATAGGCTGTAGGCAGTTTCCAGAAAAGGGCAGTTTGAGATATATGTCAGCTGGTAAGTATAAACATTCAATCTAATATAGTATATCAAAAAACACAAGCTCCAGGTGTTTCCAAAACATAGCTTAAACAGACCCAAAACAAGCACCATGTAGGGGTTTGGTCTGGACATAAGGAATCTAAGCATTCCTTAAAACTCTCCACTTCCCTGGAGCATCTCTGATCTCTACAGTAAACTTTTGGGTTAAACAATTTTCTAGACACATGAAACTAGGTTCAGACAATATAATAATTAATAGGAGTTCTGAAAAATACAACAAAAATTTCCCACATTGGTCTAGTTTCTTCTTTTTCTTTACATTCACTTTTATTTTTTTAGACATGCTGGTGGCATAGTGGATAGAACACTGGACTTGGAGTCAGGAAGACCTGAGTTTGAATCCTGCCTCTGACACTATCTGTGCAATACTGGGCAAGTTACTTACCCTTCCTAAGCCAAGCGTCCTCATCTGTTAAATGAGGACAATAATAGTACCTACATCACAGCATTGTTTTTAGGATCAAATGAGATAACACTATGAAATGTTAGCTATTATTTGTAATACCCAATTCAGCCCTCAGTTATATATTGTCCTATTGTGTGCATTTTCATGTCTGTTATCTTTTCTTCCTACGTAGATTATAAGTTCTTTGAGGGTAAAGACCAAGCTAAACTTTCTTTGTATATACTACATCTACCAGAGTGATAAGCCCAATACTTTCTGATTGATGTGATAACACCATGTGATCAGAGAACCTAACCATGCCTATGAAGAACAAAGAGGCTGACATTATACAGTACACAGTAGGAACTCTAAAAAAAAAAAAGCACTTATTGAATTAAATTGAATACTGGACATTCTAATACAGGATCTATACACTCTTTCACTGATTAAGCCACCGAGGGATTTATTATAGAAAGGTACAGTAGCCCTTCTTGATGTTAATTTAAAACTTTAGGCATGATTCTCTTGATAAATAGTCGTGATTATATTGTGCACAGATTTGAAACTTTCCTGAAGTTGTTTTTATGTCTATTGGTGCTAACATTTGGTTATTGAATCTAATTTTGCATCTTCATTGATAACATATGTATTTCAATTTCATTATACTGGAAAAGTACTCTGAAGCATATCCATATCAACATTTTTATGTATAGAATTTTCTTCCCATAGTCACTGCACAATATTTTCTTCAGTAAAGCTAAAATATAGTTACTAATTACTATTCTTGGAACTATAGTGATGCAATAGAGTTAATCCTTCTTCATGCCAATTAAACTATAGCTATTTTTTTTCCTGTATTGGATCAGCAATAATCAGCAAGACCACTGAAAGTAAAGCCAGAATGTACAATTACTAACACTTTAAAGTAACAATAAAAGATACCATTTTTATAGTGCTTTATTGTTTGCAAAGTGTTTTACACATAATATCTCATCTGATCCTTACAATAATCTTGTGAAATAGGTGCTACCATTAACCTTATTTAACAAATGAGAAAGCTGAGACTTAGCAAGAGGTCAAAGGACTTGCCCAGGATCACGTAGCTAGGGAGAATCTAAGGCTGGATTTTAATTCAAGCCTCTGTCTCCAAGTTCAACGCTATATATCTATTGTGTCAACTTGCTACAAATCTCAGAGCTACTGTTTCACATTATCAAACTGTTTGGTATTTCAGATTCAGAAAATAGAGTGACTTCTATAGAAGAAAATAAATATTTCAGAATCTGAATTGTGACTATGAAGTAACAAGGCAACACACCAATCGGAGAGTCATCTCTTTACTCTATAGGCGCATCTGTACATCATTCAAGATAAAATGATTACTATCTTCCTAGTTGACTTATAGTTTTCTAGTTTCTAAAACTGCATGCTGTAATATTGTTCACTATTGTAGGAACATAGTGGTGACAAAAATTATATAACTAGAAATTTCTTATTGGTTTTACCAATAGAGAGGAATTGTCTGTCCAATGAGCTTAAATAAAGAATAAGAACAGTAACAACAAAAAGACACTGTGTGACATGAGCTATGTATGTCATCTCTGAGTTAGTGTAACTATTCTACCTTTATATGGGCATGCTTTCATGCCTCTTCATTTATAAAGTGAATGACATTAAAGTTATATGTGTAGGCAACTTTTTTTAAATGAACATATCCAAATATGCCTTTATTGTTAAATACATAATCAAAGGATAAACACACAAGATGTAATTGTTAATGACAAATATTGGATCCCACTGAATGGCTTTTTTTATATGACTTCATGATGAATTTTTAAATCTATACATATTTTATGCATGATGCCAGAGAATAAAATAAAATTAATTGTTGGGAGAGTATACCACGACTCTGGAGATCTCAGATTCACTGTTAGATAAAGAGGCTTGCCCCATTGACACATTGGTCAGCCTGATTGCTCTTTAAAATAATTCTAAAGTAGTGATTTCAAGATGCTTCCTATGTTTGACCACTGAGTAATCATGATTTACATCTGAAAAATTTGTGCTGGTCCCAATTTAGCACTAAATTGGAAGACTATGGAAGATCACTTGGTTTCCATTTGAATGCTGGTATTGATTATTGGAGGAAGTAGACAAAGTAATCAAAAGTTGTTACAGGATATATACCTAAGTTTCTTTAAACCTCACAACATCAAGGTTACGCCAGTCAAGGAGCTGATTAACTCAGTAAAGTAATTAATCAAATTTTGCAATCAACAGATTGCCTAAATTCCAACAAAAAAATTGGTGGCAGTAATCCATATACATGAAGTCTGTGATAATTTCTCCATCTCCACCCTAACAGTTACTGTGCCCTTCATAACTCGTGTCAAAGTTTCTCCACCATACCCCAGCCCTATGCAAAAAGAAGTGTGAAGAGTGTGGAACCTAGACAGTTTTCACTGTGATGGCAAGCACTGGCAGTGTACCTGGCAGGCACATATGCTCAGAGCTCACTTTGTATCACTTTTATATCCCCAGAAATACATTTTTGCCTCTTGTCTTTGGGAACACTTCAGTTATAAGAAATGTGAATAAAACGTGATTTGGGTTTCATGGTATAAAAGTGTCTTTCCTATGAGAAGGATTAATGATAAATAAATATGGTCACATTTTCCAGAAGTTACTGAATTACCAATTCCTGATAACAAAGTGTGACTGTGATCTGCAATGTAATCTTATTCATTTCAAGCATTTGTTAATGACAGATATTGCATTTTCTTTAAGTTTGTGCATTACCTGTTCCAGCTAAAACTCAAGTAATGGGAGAAATCAAGATTGCCCTGAAAAAGGAAATGAAAACAGATGGAGAACAGCTAATAGTTGAGATCCTTCAGTGCAGAAACATCACCTACAAATTTAAATCTCCTGATCATTTACCAGGTATTTATTTTATAAGAATTAAACAGGTCAATATATCAAAAAGAACATTTGAGGACATTGGATATGACACATCTCAATGAAAACTAAAATTAGTTAAAATTTAAATTAGTTGAATGTAAACCAAACATATTGCTATTGCTTAATTTATTGATATTTTAAAGCATGTAGACTGATACATACTAAAAAAAAATCTGTTTTCTGAGAAAATTGGTGTAACTTACTCTAATACCTAAGTTGTCTGATGTAAATTGTAATGAGATTATAAATTTCATGCAGAATTCAGGCAAGACGCACTATAAAATTTTAATTCCTCAGTTAGATAATGGAAAGTTTGTAGAGGTAGGTATTATAGTAGAAAGCAATCTGGACAGGGAGTCAGGAAAGATTGGAGTTCAAATATTGCCTCTGACATTTACTAGTTGTGTGACCATGAACAAACACTTTAACCTCTCAAACCTCAGTTTCCTCATCAGTAAAATGGGGATAGTGATAGTATTATTTATCTCCTAGGGTTACTGTGAAGATCAAATAAGAAAATTATGTAAAGGCCTTTTGCACAGCTTAAAGTACTATTTTTTTAAAAGAAATGTTTCTTAGTATTATTGGTCTAATGGGACAGCAAATGTAACAAGCTGAATTCTTATTGGCAGATTTGTATGTGAAGCTGTATGTGGTCAACATTTCTACCCAAAAAAGAGTGATCAAGAAAAAGACTAGAGTGTGTAGGCATGATCGGGAGCCTTCGTTCAATGAAACATTTAGGTTTAGCCTGAGTCCTGCTGGGCATTCTCTTCAGGTAATTCTCTACAACTTTTTTAGTTTGTGTGGTGGATTTTTTTTTAAATTATTTTGTCTTTTATTTTTTAAAAAATAATTTTATTATATCTTTACATCCACTGAGTTCTGACTTAGCCATATTTAAATAAAAGCTCATTCTTAAAGATAAAACAGTAAATCTGACCAGCAATGTGCTGGTAAATATTTCATGACTGGCTCTCTGGAAAAAAAAAGTGTGCCCAGGAAACATTTTAAAGTTTAACAAACATTAAATTTTTCTCTATCATTTTCTTAAGTCTGACAATCAACAAAACAATAATTCAGGCTCTGACTTGTAGCGTTTGCTGATTTCCAAGGTGTAATGCTCACACTGAAAATGTAATAATCTGTTCTCAGGAGCCTGTATTGCCTGTCAAACCTTGAGCAAATTATTTATTCTCTCACCATAACTTTATTTCTTCATCTTTATGTAACCCTGCATATGAGCAGGTTACTTAACATGGAGCCCCCATCATATAAGTGGTGTAGCCAATCAAAAGAGGCTACACCACTCCAATGTATGGGGATGCAGAGAGCTAAAACTAGGCATACCCCAAAGCTGAGTTTCATATAAAAATTACTAGAAGAACTATAAGGTTTTCCTAGTCTTAAATTTAAAATCCCATGATCTCATTTTTATACTATTTAGTATTTATTCTATATAAACTTTTACATAGAATCACAGAATTTCAGAGTCAAAAAGGAACCCGGCAGTCACCGAGTCTAACCTATATAACCAAAAGAATTCCTGAAAAAACATGCCTGTTACACTATAGCATATTTGTTGTCTCCCCGATAGAATGTAAATTTTTGAGACTTAGAGGGCTTTTTTGTTTTTGTTTCTGTTTTTGTTTGTTTGTTTGTTTTTAATTTATATCCCTAGTGCTTAACACAATGCTTGGCACATAGCAGGTATGCTTATTGATTGATTGATTGGTAGATTGATCTCATTATTAATGACAAGCTGCTCAAAACCTTTCATCAAAGCAAATTTCTCTTCCAATTATTTTTCAGCAGCTCTTACTGCACTCTCCAATACCACAATAAATAGACTTTGCTTGAGACAAAAGTTTGAGACATAAACTTGACTGAAGTCCTTTAACTTTTTAGAGGCAATAGAAATTGTTTGATTGAACCTGAATATGACATCAGTGTCTTTTCCACTAATTATTATTTTTTGATCTTTTACATTTTTTGACATCCCTGTGACATTTGATAATGTGGACCACTTGATCCTTCTTCTCACTCTCTGCTTCCTTGTTCTAAATCAACAAACTCTCAGTTATTCTCCTTCTTCTCTTAATAGTTTCTTTTTTGGTCTGTCTGCTAATCCCTTGGTCTCTTCCTGATGTCTTAAATTTAATGTCATCCAAAATACTATGCTTGGCCCTTAAGCGTATGTTTTCCTTACGCATAACTCTTGCTAGCATGTGAAATGAGCACAATTGTTCAGTAATATGAACGTTCTTTGGCATTTCCCTTCTTTAGGACTGGGACATAAACTGATCTTTCACAATCTAGTGGCCACTGTTGAGTTTTCCAAATGTGCTGGCATATTGAGTGCAGCACTTCAACAATATCATCTTTTAGTATTTTTAATAGCTCAGATGGAATTCTGTCACCTCCACTAGCCTGTTAGCAAAGTTTTCCAAGGCTCACTTGACTTCATTCTCCAAGGATATCTGGCTCTTGATCAGCAGACTGGTTTTCAAAGAGGCAAAGGAACTAAAGACCAAATTGTTAATATTCACTGGATTGTGGAGAAAATAAGGGAGTTTCAGAAAAAACATCAACTTCTGCTTCATTGACTACACTAAAGCCTTTGACAGTGTGGATCACAACAAAATGTGGCAAGTCCTCAAAAAGATGCAAATATCAGATCATCTTACTTGTCTCCTGAAGAACCTGTATGCGAGTTAAGAAACAACAGTTAGAACTGAACATGGAACAGCTGATTGGTTTAAGACTGGAAAAGGAGTACAAGGTTGTATATTGTCATCTGTTGACAAAGGTCCATATAATCAAAGCTATGTTTTTTTCAGTAGCAGTGCATGGAGTTGGATTATAAGGAAAGCTGAGCACTGCAGAATCAATGTTTCCAAATAGTGGTGCTGGAGAAGACTTTTGAGAGTCCCTTGGACAGCAAGGAAATCAGATCAGTCAATACTTAAGGAAATTAATTCAGGCTATTCACTGGAAGGTCAAATACTGAAACTGAAGCTTAAAAACTTTGGCCACATAATGAGAAGACCAGACTCATGGGAAAAGACCTTGACGTTGGGAAAGATTGAAGGCAAAAGGAGAAGGGGATGGCAGAGGATGAAATGGATTGTTTTGTGGAAACAATGAACATGAACTTGGACAGACTTTGAGAGATAATAGAAGGTAGAAGGGCCTAGTGTGTTATGGTCCATGGAGTCACAAAAAGTCAGATATGGCTGAACAACTGAACAACAACACTCTTTCCCTGAGCATTCTCATGGTTTAACTATTACCTCCAAGAAGATAATTATTAATTTATCAACTCAGCCCTGAGCTCCTAGCTCTTGTCCTAAAGGATAAGTAAGATGATCTGATATTTCCATCTTTTTGAGGACTTGCCACATTTTGTGTGATCCACACTGTCAAAGACTTTAGTGTAGTCAGTGAAGCAGAAGTTGATTTTTTTTTTCTGAAACTCTCTTACTTTCTCCACAATCCAGTGAATATTAACAATTTGGTCTTTAGTTCCTCTGCCTCTTTAAAAACCAGCAGGTTCTACTACCTATAATGTATTGTAGGCAAGTCCTACTGAGATTTCAATGTCAATATGTATAAAATAAACTTTTTTACAATTCCTGTACAACCATTCTCTTTCTGACTTTATTGTTTTTCAGTGCCAACATCAGTTAAGTCTTGTCAGAGTTGTGCAACATCTCCTCACTTCTATTATTTCTTCTCTATTCTTGTAACCACCCAAGGACGGTCATTGCTTCTCTTCTAGTTTTTCTACAATCAGCTAAATTACCTCCCATACCCTTCAATCTACCCTTTACAGCAGTGCCAGACTCAAGTCCTGCATGAACTGATGGAGTCATGACATTCTTCTGCCCAAAATCCTTGAATGCATCCTTATCATATGGCACATAAAAGTCAGATTGTGCCCAGAACTATCAGTTCAATTTGACCTTGCCAGCCTTTCTGGATGTTTTAGAGTTTGAGTGCAGTATTCTTGTCAAATCATAACATATAAGTCCTAAGGTGAGCTCAGCCAGGGCAGAAGTTCAAAATTTCTCTTGATCATGATTTTTTTTACTTTGCCAATGGGCTTGACAACAGGAATTCACTATGTTTAGGATCTTTGCAGTGACAAGATGTCAAAAATATTACACTCCCCTCCATCTATTCTTTTGCCAGTAAGATTGGACTACTTGTTGTTCTTGGAATCCCCTTTCTCCACCTTTTACCTATTGAAATTCTAACCTTCTTTTGTAATCCAAATCAAATTCTACCTCCTCAAGTATGTCTTCCCTGATCCACCAGTTGATCATGATCTTGTTCCACTTAGATATCACATAGAACTGTATTTGTACCTTTCTAATACAATTACTTTTTATTTAGTGTTATAGTTTATTCATATTTGTAACTTATTCTCCTACTGAATTCTAAGTCCTATGATTTTGTCCTCTGTGAACTTTATATACTGCCCACCCCAAGTCCCAAGAAGTCTACAATGCAACCCTTGAACAGAAATAATTTATACTTAATAAACTTTTTGACTGAACTAATTTAAACTTCAAGATTGAATGACTTAGTCCACCTCATCAGTCCTATCAGGGTACCAATTTCACCCAAATAAATCTCTACTTGGTGGGATTCTGGCTGAGTAGGGAAGAAATTTTTTAAAAGTTTTTTTTTCCTAGTGCATTTTAATCCAAACTACAGTTTTATTCCACTTATATTTAAAAGTAGTCTTGAAAGGCAAGAAGGAAAAGATATCTCTGTTACCCCTATCCGCCTTTCCCTAACACAGGGAAACCGAGACTCTGCTTCCTTCCCTCCCTCCTCAACTTTTTGTATAACACATAAGACTGATTTCTCTGGTCTAATCTTTAAATGTCAATAAGGGAGATGACTCCTACTACAGAGGGAAGGGGATATCATTCCTTAATCTAAGCATGATGACAAGATTCCTTATCTACTTTTTCTTGACCCTCAGAAATGAGGGCATGCAAATGTTTCAGCTAGTACAGCTAATAATTTAGCAACTAATACCTTAACAAGGGCACCCCTCAGTAAAGAAGTCATGATATCTACTTGACTCAATCTTCCCTGAGGTGCAAATCTGGAGGTAATTCTCAAAGTAGGTCTCTATTTCATATTTATAACTACCTCCATCTCCTCCATCTGATCCCAGATATGCTACCGCCCCAATGCCACTTACAACTCTAACCAATCCCAATATTTTCTCTGTTCTCATGAAGGTTGAAATATGACTCATTGAGTAATGTTGCCCTCAACCCTTTCTTCTTAGGATTATGCTAAAGATGAGACCTATACCAGGACCTAACTGAAAAATAAAGTAAACTATCCCTAGTCTTACTATAGTCTCATAATACCTAGTACAGTGTCTTAGAAATATTGGGAAGTTAGTAAGTATTCAATGAGTCTTTAAGGATTAGTAGGTTTTTGATAGGTAAAGGAGGCAGCTAGGTGGCACAGAGGATAGAGCACCAGGCCTAGAGTCAGGAAGATTCATCTTCCTGAGTTCAAATCCAGTCTTGGGCACTTACTAATTGTGGGACTCTGGGCAATTCACTTAACCCTGTTTGCCTCAGTTCTCTCATCTTAAAATGAACTGGAGAGGGAAATGGCAAATCACTCTAGCATCTTTGTCAAGAAACCCCAAGCAGGCTCACAAAGAGTTGGACATGACTGAAAATGAATAAATAACAAAAATAATGATAGATAAAGGGGACATAGGAGGTCATGTCAAGCCAATGCTACAGATTCAGTTAAGATACAGTGGCACCAATAAACAAGAAATGTTCACTGTATAGTTTAATTGGAGTGTAGGATTTATGTTGGGGGGCAGGGGCTGATAACTAAGATAAAATCTGCAAAGAGCTTGAATTAGTGTGTGCCAAATCCCAGAAGATTAAAATACCAAACAACATTATCTAGTTTTGCAAAATTCTTCTAGCATTAAAATAATATTTTAGTTGATTTCAGATTGCATGATCTGGGACCAAAACATTTGGCAAAGTAGCCTCTACATTGGTTTTAATACATCAGTTTTATTCTAAGCATACAGATTTCATGTTTGGAATGGTCAGAACCTCAAAGATGTACAGTTTGATTCAAAGAATATTAAGAAATATTAAAGTTCATTTAAAGCATGAAAGTATTCTGAGGATTTCTTAGTCATTGTAATTCTTCCCTGTCCCCTTTACTTCTTTACATTTTTCTCCCACAGTGAGAAAAATGTCTTTAAAATAACTTGCTTATAGCAAGTGCTAAATTATTTACTGAATTGACACGAATGCTAGAGAAAGAGATGAAGTAAATTTTTGACTGGTTTTGTTTTCTAGATTTTGCTTGTCTCCAATGGAGGGAAGTTTATGAAAAAGACACTGATTGGTGAAGCTTATATCTGGCTTGACAAAGTGGATTTAAGGAAAAGAATAGTAAACTGGCACAAGCTCTTGGTCAGTCCTACTCAGACACACTGAAGAGAGTCTGCTTGGGCTTCAGAACCTTCCAGACCATTATCTTCTATAAAGAGCATCAAATCAATTCCATAGATTGATACTATTGTGTTTAGTTAGGCTTTCAGAGGGAGGGGAAAAAAAAAGACAAGTGGGAAGATCAGATGATGGGCCTACAACCTTGTAAATTTGTTGTTGATAAAGTCAGCAACAAGCTCTGGGATCCCAAATAAAAGGATGTGCAAGTTAAAGAAAAGAGGGCTTGTTGATATTGGACTTCTCATGGTCACCAAGGGAAACTGTGAAAGAAGTTGAATGCTGAAGGCAGATGTGATTACTTGGAGCTCTGCTGAAGCTGGAAGTGGTGGTTCAAAGATCAATATGGTTTGCAATGTAGCAAAATGATGTTTTTTTATGCAAAAGCATCTGAGGTGAAAGCAAAGGACTGACTTTATAAATCTCACTTTTTTAAAAGTGTAAAACTAGTTCCTCTGCGCCTTAGGCTCTCTGATTATTTACTATGGTAAGAGTATATTGCAGGATTGATTCGTCCTGCTTTGTTTGTAGTTATGGCACAGGTGTGGATTTTATTTTTTCTGAATCAAAAAAAAATACGCCTTGGAGCATGAGCTCAAAGAGGATTTCATGGTGTATAGTACCATCCTTGAAACTCATATGATGAAAGCACATTTTTAGTATAGGCTGGCATGATTTATACTGAAGATAACCCAGGGTAGAACTTCAGTGGAATACAGAAAAGGGAAATGCCATTTATTGTACAAATGAAGCTGCTATCCTGGAAGACCAGACATAGATGACTTGGCAGGGAAGAATTTTGCCTCAAAAACAAAATAATCCCAGGGACCTATCATAAAAATATAAAAGATTCTTTATTTTCCCATAATTTAGCCTCTGGAGAAGACTATCTGAATGATACAGGCTATATGTACCAAAGGACATAGATTTAACTTGTCTTATATGAGCTCTAGCTCATATAAGGCATGAAAGCCTATTCTTTGTGGAACTACAAATAAATTCATTATCCTATAGATTTAATTTCTATTGAATGACATATTAGGAGACAAAAATATTTCCCTCAAATAAATTTTGTATTAGTCTCTTTGTAGTGGTTAATTAAATTGGGATGAGCTTTTACTCTTATGTAATTAAATCTTTCTTTAACTATATATATATATATACATAGCATGAAAATCCTTACACCTTAGGCCCACCTTTTTATTGTGCTTCTGCTCCCCCACTCCTTTCCCCCACCACCCTCCCACCCCCTGTACTTCACCTTGGTCAAGTTCATAATGGGAAACTTGGGAAACTGTACAGTGTGACTATTCAAAATACCAAGTTTAAAAATTTTATTCTATCTGAGTGAGGATTTTGACACCAGAATATGCTAATTAATTTCTTTAAATATTGGACAAAACAGTTCAAATCCAAGCTATTGAAATGAGAATGTCTTCATCATGTAATAAAAATTATTGATGAGAAACTCACAAGGGTGGCAGTACACCCTAGTGGAAAATGGTCTAGTACTAGAATTCAGGAAACCTGGGTTTTAGTCTCAGCTCTGCCAATGATTCCTTGTCTAATCTTCAGCAAGTCACTAAACTTCTCTGTGTGCCCATGTCATCTATAAAATTGGGATCTTAATACCTTCCCTTCCTACCTCACAGGTTTGTTGTGAGGATAAAAGCAGGTCATATATGTAAAGCACTTTGCACAACATAAAGCACTATACAAATGTAAGGAATAAGAGTTATCAAACATGTTGAGGCTCTCAACCCAAGAGGGAATAACAGCCTTATTCCCCCAAATAACCACCTTATATATATATAAATATATATTTATATATATAAATAACCAAATAACCACATTGGATTAAAAAGGAGAAAAAAGTCAGCTCCAAATTTCATTTTACATATAACCTGGAAAATACTTTTCCAAAAGTATTATTTTTCATTTACCCATTTGGAAGAAAAGAAAGTGAGGGAGTGAAATGAAAATATATACAAATAGGATATACGAAGTTGAAGCCAAATGAACTACTCTGTTCTTAAATCTCTTATTCCGCTCTCACTTTGTCCCTAAAACAAAATTTAAGGGCTAAGCAACGCAGTCTAAATTTGTTGCTTTGAAATTGCTGCTATAATCTAGACTAAATATTCCTCTGGGGACAGGAAGTAGTACAATTCTCTCATATGAATATGTATTTCAAATGTAGTTTTGTCTGTAGTTAGTGTTAACCAGAGGTCTTGATCCTGCATGGACCATCAAAATAACTAGAAACCATTCATTGCAACAGACTTTATTTGCATTGATAGAATAAGGATTTTATCTCCAGTTGTCCCTCCAGCCCTATTTGGTAGTTTGTCATATCTTCTCCACCCAACAACATCCCTCCACCTTCCAGCCCACAAAAAAAAGAAATTCTACTTTTAGTTACCATTGAAATAGGGATAAGATGAGGGCATTTGGAAGATCAAACCACTGACAATTTTGATCTTGCAAGAATTTTATTTTTTTGGTGACAGCAAGTCCTGCTGATGGTTGCTATGGAAATTTCCGGCAGGAGTTACTGTGATATGGGAGACTATAATCAGCATTCTTTATTTGGGAAAAGTAGTCCAATAATCTTTTCATCTGACACATAATGTCACTGCTAGTTGCCCTTAAAGATAAACTCTCTAATAGGACCTAGGTTAACTTTGGCACTCTCTTTTAATCACTGGTATAATCCAATCATCTTTAATGGTTGGTTCTCATGAATACAAGATGACCAGTCATTTGGCTTCAGAATGCAATCTCTCTTAGACCAATAAAACAGTAGAGATTATCAAGCAAAGGGATGTCCCTTCATCCTGACCTGATCTAGTATATTAAAATTATTTTCATTCTGGGTAGCCCATCAGTTCCTGGAGACTAGTAGCAATCAAGTCATTGAGGACATTCAGTGACAGGCCTCATCTTGTATGGGTGTGCACAGGCATCCATTCAGAGTGGGTAAGATGCTTCCAAAGAGTGCCAAAGTTGCAGCTGACCAAAATCGTTAGGTTGTTCTGGAATTACTCTATGCAACACTGATTCATACATGAATGCATTTCTTCTGAATGATGTTAACAACCCTTCATAAAACAGAACAATTTCATTTTAAAATTTAAAATAGGGCTCTTGGTATTTTTAATTTTTTGTATATATCACAGCATGGTTTTCCAATTCTACTTAATTATTCCTCCACTGGGTTCTTAGTGACTACAGAGCTTGTGATCTCTGATTAACTGATTTTTATTAATCTAATTAATATACTTCTACAACATTTGCCTGAATAAGTACATCTTTCAAGTTCTTCAAAGGAATTTTGATTTTTCCCACAGATTCACTGAATCATCAAATATTGAGATAGTTCCTTGGTTTAAGATCTGGTACAATGAAAACATACTGAAATCTAAGCAAAAGCACAGTGTGAGTGTTTACAAAATACAAGGCTTCATAATGTAGTCTTTACAAATATGGATGGGGATAGAAGCAGGACATTACTATGAATATCTACTTATTTATCATTTCACAGCTTAAGGAGACAGGATCCAGGAGCAGAATAAAGGGATATAGGGCCTGCTTCTTAATATTACCCATATTTTTTACATCAAACTAACTTATTAATCAAATCCATATTTCAAGACATAAGTGAAGTAAGTTTTGTAGATCACACATACACATCTTGAAATGGTCATTTTGTGGGAGTAATGTAGCTGGTAACCAGCTGATATGGATTCTTACTATAGGAGTGATGGTGGGAGTGGGCGTGGTGAGAGTAGTGTGGAGATATAAGTAAGCATCTATACTATAAAAAAGCTATTGTGCCCAATTTAATAGAAATTATTTGATCAATGTTTAGTTTCATGAAGATATCATAAAGATGTTTATAGTATTTTTTTATTATTTAAATCATGCTTAATATTTTAAAGGACTTATTTTCATTGCTACAGTGTCTATTATCCCAAATTCTGCCAACTATATCTATACATGTATATACACCTATGTCTAACAGAAGTGAATGAAATTATGTGACTGAACTTAGAACTGAAATGAAAAGGAGAGAGAATGTTCAATGCATACAAATCAGATGATCCAGTTGTTTCTTTCAAATGATTGCCTTTGCTAAAAGACTAGAGTGAATGAGTAAAATGGATAATCTCTCTAAGTTAGAGTATACATTTTAATGTTTTCTGTATGTTCCATTTTATTCGTTAAAAAAAAGTCACCTGGGGAGCTCAAAATCAATTAAAAATCCTTAATATTAAGTCTTGAGACAGCAGTTTCTTAATTTGTTACACTGTGTATAACTCTATGTTTTTTAAAACAGACAAGTTTGGACTATTAATTTCATCCAGCATTCAGCATGTGAATGCGAATATTATTTGACTGTGTCTATATATCTGTTCAGTGATGTGCTCAGGTGCTACCATGATGAATAGCGTGTGTGCTAATATCTTATAATTTAAAAAAAGCATACAGCATTCTAGCTGTCCAAAAAATTTTTAAAATTTAAAAAAAATTATCCTTGAAAAAATGTCATGTTTCTAAATTGAATGTTGCATGCAGTGGTGGTGATTTGATATCTTCTTTTCCTTTTATAAATTTTACTTCTGAGATCTCTCTGGAAAAACAACAAAAACATCAAAAAGCCTTGTTCTAAAAGTTGTATACATTGAAATAAAAATGTATGAGAATTGTACAAAGACAATGCTTGTAAATCTGTCTCAGTTTCCAATCTATGTAAAAATCCATGTCACGGTTTTGTGGTTGTATACAGGATATATCTTGAGAATTTATGCAAGTTGTGTTATTATAAAGGCTGCTCCCCCAGTCTAACAAATAAATACTGAAAACATCAACTCTGTTGTTACTCATTATTTTTTTTAAGGCAATTGGGATTAAGTGACTTGCCCAGGGTCACACAGCTAGTAAGTGTCAAGTGTTTGGTCTGAGGCCCAGATTTGAACTCAGGTCCT